TCACACACACACACACTCACACACACACACACCTGCTGACAGGACAGACGCCTATAAACTTGTCCGGTCTTTTCTTCGTGATGTGCATGAAGCCAACCTTCTTTATTGTTTGTCTCAATCTTTATAGGCAACAATCTTCAACCTGTGGAGCAAACTTTGCCCCCCGTTTTGTGATGAAGAGGATGGAGGTTTGTGAGGATGAGCTGATCCTCTGACACCATGATGAACCCAGCTTCTGCCGACTCGTCTCGGCAGTCAGACAACAGCGGCAGCCGCAAGCAGCAGCAGAGATCCTCGTCCCCGGCGGGGCTCAAAGAAACAGGAGCTAAAGCTGCGCAGAAAGGCGGCAGTTCGGGTAAAACTAAAGCATCAGGAGGAGGAGGAGGAGGAGGAGGAGGGAGAAGCAGCCGAGGTCATTCTCCTGTCTCCACAGGCAGGGAGCGGCAGGTCGGCAGAGGCGCGGCTGCTGTCCAGCCTGCCGGTGCTGAAAGCCCGCCGCCGAGCAGGCCTGTGGAGGACTCCCCCCGCCTCGCCGCCGACGCCTCCTCCTCGCCCTCCAGAGCGGATCCGAGCCGCGTCGTCTCCGACCAGCCGTGCGCGTCCAAGTCCCCGAAGCTGAGGAGCAAAAAACCGAGAAGGGAGGAGGAGAATCATCATCAGCAGCAGCAGCAGCAGCATCAGGCCGCCGCGAGCAAAAAGAGCTCCAGGAGCACGGTGGGCTGCGGGCCCGGCTTCTGGAAGGAGGGATGCCTGCAGACGGAACTCATCCAGTTCCACCTGAATAAGAGCTTGGGGAAGAAAGGGTCCAAGATGCAGGCCAAGTCCGCGTCGCCTCCGGCGTCCGAGCCGGAGCTGTCCCCGGAGCCCGACAGTCCCCAGCGGGCACCGCACCCGGACCCCCGGCTGCAGGACGAGCTCGAGAGGCTGGAGGACGAAAACGATGACCTGAAGGTAGAGTGGCCTGCATTTGACTTTAAAACATGTCCGGCACGGTCATGTGCACGAGCCGCACCTGTTGTGTTTGCGTGCAGGCTGGAACAGGTTTCCGTGAAGGAGCTGTAGATGTTAGTTTTAATAAAAGTCGCAGATCCCTTAAAGATGGTTTGCATATCACCTGCCAGACATTAAAACTAAGAAGGGACAGAATTGCAACTGTTTTGGTCACACCTCACCTTGACTTATATCATGTGATGATGTCATGTAGTATTTTGTAAAATCGACTTTTTTGAGCTTTATATCATGTTAGATTGTAATTCACTCATGAAAAACGTGTTGTTGTTGTTGTTGTTGTTGTTGTTGTTGTTGATGATGATGAGTGATGCTTTGATCCATTCATGCTTGAGAAATCCTTGAATCACCTGCTGGTACAAAGCACCGCCTCCTGACCCAAGCTCCTCCCTGGAGCTCAGCTGAGCTCCCGCCCCACAGCACCCCTTCACTGAAGCACTGAAGTGTCCTTAGGATGTTCTTAATTGACAGTGGCCAATTTCAAGTAGCCTACCTGCAGACGAAGGAATGGGGCGGGGTCGGACGCCCGATGGGCGTGGTCACGGTTTGGGCTGACTGGTCAGATAGTGGGCAGAGTCGGAAGCCAATCAGCTCTTCTGAAAAAAAATGGAGGAAGCTAAACGAACCACAATGTTTTTTAACTTTTTATAATTGTAAACTAGCTTTTTATTGACATTTATATATGTTGTGTACGGAGCCCGCGAGGCGACAAGGGAGATTATCTTTTGCGTTCCCACGCAATAATATTGCGTTACCTTGCAAAACCTTTTGCGTTCCCTCGCAAAAGTAGTTTATCACTGTTGTGCCTGCTGGTTTATTAACAAACTCACATGTTCACCATTAGCAAGTTAGCCTACTGCTTTAATTCAGCTTCAGAATGATTATATCACACAACTACTCATGCAAGTATGTCATATGCCGATATTTTAACACAGTGCACCCACGCAACATCCATGTCAATTTCACGAACTTGTGGCGACACATCCTGTTTTGGTAACTGGATATTTGAAAAAAAAAAAGTCTGATTTAACCAGTTCATGTTCAAAACAATATTGCGAGGTAACGCAAAAGTATTGCGAGGGAATGCAAAAGTATTGCGAGGGAATGCAAAGGTATTGCGAGGGAATGCAAAGGTATTGCGTTTGAACGCAAAAGGAAAAAAAAATCCCCCATGTCCCCTCACGGGCTCCGTGTGCATGTAAATATGAGTGAAATAACATTAAAAAAAAAGATCAAGTATGAACTTTATTATGAGCAAAATAACGTTAAAAAACGTAACACAGAGGTTTTGTAAACATTTTATTTTCTTTCAGTACTACTTTTTAGTTCACCCAAAAGCATACAGACATTTTTAAATTCTGTTTCTCAACACATTCTGATACAAATTTTTCGTAATCGTTTTGCAATTTGACAATAGTCTTCCCAGCTGATGTTCTGGTCAGTGGTTCCATTGTAATGAAGGATGTCTGTGGAGAAAAAAAATAAATTAGTTAGAGCATTATGGCAACATTTTCAAAGGGCTTAACGCAGGGGTGTCAAACTCCAGTCCTCGAGGGCCGCTATCCTGCATGTTTTAGAGGTTTTCCAGCTCCAACACACCTGATTAAGTGACTGAATTAACTCTTCAAATTGGGCAGAAGCCTGTTAATCACCCAGCGATCAAAATCAGGTGTGTTGGAGCAAGAAAACCTCTAAAACATGCAGGATAGCGGCCCTCGAGGACAGGAGTTTGACACCCCTGGCTTAACGTATAAGCTGAAATGGCTAACAATGAGAACTTAAAGCCAGTTAGCAGATACACTACATTACTTCTTTAAAAAGTCAAGCTCTGTGCAGCAATAATAACAAGAGTAACATTTGATCGTGACACTTAGAAAAACATTTCAGGTTCTAGTAATTTAAAGGAGACCAATTATGGGTCCTAGAAATTTTTATGGTATGTCTGTGGGCTATCCAGACCATGTTCATTCAATATAATGCACAAAATAATTCTCAGATAATAAAATTTCCCATTTTCTAGTTCTGCATGCTCTGACTTCCGTTCAGAAGAGCTGTTTATGTTAATGAGCTCTGTTGGTAACGCCCTCCAAAAATCTGTTGACATTAACTCCGCCCTCCAAAAATCTGTTGACATTAACTCCGCCCTCCAAAAATCTGTTGACATTAACTCCGCCCTCCAAAGCCAACGTTTACTTTAGCATGGCTAGTAGCAGAATCTCTGTTGTACAACCATAGGAGACCCAGAGGCAGAGTCGTGGTCGCAGCTTCTTTTTTTTTCTCCTCCTCCTCTGCTCTGCGCTCACTCTGCATGCTGTTACCAGAGCAGGGAGCAGCAGCAGTCAAAATACCTCAGAAACTTGAACAAATAGGCTTTAACAAGGCTTTAATAAGCTAAACAATAGAGGTACATGAGAAAACATGTTCATAACGAATGAGAATAAATATTTAAATTGTGTCCATGCTGATCTCCTGCAATAATAAATATTTAATTAAAATAAATAAAAAATTAAATTGTGTCTGTGCTGGTCTCAAACCCTGGTCTCCCACTATCTGGTCCAACACTCTACCCATTGTCCTATTGGAGGCTTGTTGTGAAATGAGCTGCGATTGCACAACAACACGGTGATGGCTTTTTATACTGAGGAGGTGGAGCTTCACCCGGGGGGGTTTGTAGGTAAGGGGCTGAACGCAGATTCTGGTGGGTTGTCGTACAGCTTGTGACATCACAAAATGACTGAAGTATAAAACTTGTCGTTAATAAACATTAAAAATACATTTACTTACAGTAAATATGCCACTGGGTGCATATTTTTGTCCTAGGATTGTTTTTTTAAGAAATACATACCCAAAGTTGAGTAAAAAAAACTTTAAAAAGTAAATTTTGCATAATAGGTCCCCTTTAAAACTAAAGTCTGTAATGTTGTGTATCAGACTCTTATTTTGAAATGACCAGTAACTGAAACAGGATGTGTTATCACAAGTAAGTGATATAGACATTTCGCTAACGTGGCTGTATGCTGAAGCTTAATAAAATTCTGTGGGGAGGTGTGCACAAAATATTACTAACCAGCAAACACAACACAGTATATTTTACATAAGTTTATACCTTCACTCATTCAGATCCAGACTTCTGACCTATACAACTCCGCCCCATTCCGCAGTCAGCTATTTATAGGTTTTGATGCAAAGTTAAGTTTATTTTTGATACATAAAGCTTTTCCAGAACAACATTAGTTACTTGATTGTGTTATAGATATGATGTATGTGCCTGGAAAATACATAATACCCCCCTTTAAGATGGACTTTCAGCTACTACCACACCAAATTATAGAACAATATTTGTGTAACTGAATTCTAGCCATTGTTTGGTAGATTTGATTAGCTGTGTTGGCTATCTTGAATCAGGTTGACTCCAAAAGTCAATTGTTAAATTCAGTGATTCTTTTACAAAAATTAGTTAGTCCAGCAGTGCATGAGGTACTTTATAAATGAACGCACACACATGAAAAAAACATGGACCTATGAGCATTATCTCTCTTTTTACATTTTTGTTTTGGCCAGACTGAAATTCAGGAGATGCGGGCAGAGATGGATGAGATGCGAGACACCTTCTATGAAGAGGACGCCTGCCAGCTTCAGGACATGCGCAGAGAGCTGGAGAGAGCCAACAAGAACTGTCGGATCCTCCAGTACCGGCTGCGGAAAGCCGAGAGGAAAAGGCTCAGGTTCACTGAGAGTGGCCAGGTGGACGGAGAGCTCCTGAGAAGTCTGGAGCAGGACCTGAAGGCGAGTCACAGTCTGGGGACGGGGGGCGGGTGGGT